TTTTTTGTAATTTTTAATGACGACGTGCAATTTATTCCATATTCAAAAGTAGAATATTTTTTTTTTAGTATTTCGCTATATAATATTTAAATTTTGTACAATTTATTTTATGAGTTATTAGTTTATTACTTATTAGTATATTTTAAAGCTTGAATAAGCGGAGTGGTTAATACAGGGTACAAGTTAAATATTAACTGTAACTCCAAAATTTGATTTTTATAAATCAAATTACTTGGAATTAAATTCTATTTCGGGATAATATGGTCATTCAAGATTATAAAAACATCTATATAAATACTTTTTAAAAATGATAATGAAAAATAATAAATATTTTTCTCTAAAATGTTGTTTTGTACCTAACGAATTAAAATTGTAAATTAAATATTTTCAAATAATTTAGTGTTTTATAAAAACTAACGAATGATGCCTACGTTAAATGGATCACGCCTTMTACAAAATAATATGTAGTATGTACCTATATCACTTGCAGGGTACGAGTTAAATTTCAACTATATGTATTATGTATTTAAATTTTAAACTTAACTCGCAGTGAATTTTTGCCATTTTATTAATACATTCTGCTTCACGTGTATGATGTAAAATAGAAAGGAATAAGGGACATAATATTATAGTACTCGTAAGTGTATATCTGTACTTTTTTTGTTTATTTAGTTTTCAATATATTATATCGAATGTTTATTAACAGTGCGAATATATATATATAGTTTCATCGGTATTMTGTATTATATACACTATATATATCTGGACGTGCCTTCCGTTCGGAATATATCTTTCATTGGCATGTATATATAACACATAGTTAATAAACCCTATACGTACATTTATATACAGTCGATTCTATGCACCTTATGTATGTATGTGTGTGTGTGTGTGTGTGTGTGTGTGTTTGTGCATGAGTGTAAATACGGTGTAGTTGTGTAATATATACTGTAAAGTGGAGCGGGCGATTTGTGTCAGAACTTTTCAGCCCCAAAACTTTATTGAATTCTGAGCATCGCGCGCGTGCAACGTTGTCGGTGGTGGGAGACGGTGAAGTGGTGGACGACGGACGTGCATAGTTTTCAAATTTTAGCAACACGCTATTTTACCGACGATGTTACTGTGTAGCAGTTGAAATTTATTATTCGTATCGTATGAAAACGCTTATTTCATTAATATTTGTTGTGACGATAGATGACAGATGTCATAGTACACGAAACGAGAGAATTAAATATTGAATAAAACCGCAAGTTCTGCAGACTTCCGTCATCGTTAGGGGTTGTTCGAATGCAATATGACACACGCCRCTCACTTAAATATTTTCAGTTAATTTCGTAGAAGTTTTCGAAAAACTATTTGATAGTTCGGTTTATCGTAGTTTCTTATCGTTAAACGTATACTGTCTTTATTTTTTTATGAGCTGCTAAATTGACTAAATCGTGTCATCACAATATTATATAATGATTGTTGACGGGATAGAATTATGGTGGGACAGTTAATTCTATTTTTTTTTCTGAAACCTGTGAACTTAAAAATCATAAAATTTGCAAAAGATTTAAATATGTATTAAGAAAAAATCTTGACAAATGGAGTGGTTTTCATTCATATAGAAACTAATATTGTTATAATTATTTTACCTTACACTTGATAACCAGTGTTAGGACTTATCAAGATAAATTATCCAGATAATAATTATTTTATCTTTTATCTTATCTAGATAAATAAATATAAGTTATCTAAGTATTTATTTTAGATAAATATTTGACTTATCTAGATAAATTTAAAAGATAAATTTTTTAGTGAAAATTAGATAGATCTGTACYAAAAATATTATTAACTATGTGAATTTTGTTTATGGTCCACTCGACAACTTCTTCAGCAGGGTGACTTCCCAAATTTTTATTTATACTTTGTTACTCCCTATAGAGTCCCTTGGATCTTATTGGTTCCTTATATAATTATATGTGTTGAAGTTAATGTTTGGTGATACACATCATGATATAATAAGTTAAGTCGAAAATAAACATATTATATAGGCATGTACTTACATGACATTATATATGTTTTTTTTAAATTAGTTGTTTTAATTTTAATTTCTATAATTATCTGTTATTTATCTGGATAAAATATTTTTATCTTTTATCTTTTTGTTAGATGAATTAAATTTGTTTATCTTTTATCTGTATCTTAGATAAAATTTAGTGTTGTTATCTTTATTTTTATCCAGATGATTTTTTTGTTATCTGTTCCTAACACTGTTGATAACATATAAAAACTTTTTGTTTTAACAAATTTTGTACGGTATCGCAACAATCGAAATTTTTGCTAGCTACATTTATAGTAGTATTATAAATTTCATTAAAAATACAATAATATATGAAACGCCTTTGATATCAATACCATTGCTGCGCGTGTCGAAATTAAATATTAACCGTGCGTATAAACGTTTTCTACAAAATATTGATCCTTCGGGTTTTATGTCACTCATTAAATCAGGCCAATAATACGACGGATATTAAGTTGCAGCCCATAGAGTCGCTAGACGACTACGTTATGACCAGTCTATATATGACAAAATGCTCATCGTCTATAATATAATGAACAATAAACCCATACTCCTATGTATAATATGTATATGATATATATATATATATATATATTATGTATGTTCGTATATATTATGCTGTGTTGGGTAATGCGTAATAATACAATCCAAGCTGAGTCGACACGAGCCATTTGGCGCCTTCAGGCAGGACATAAAATTGCAGTTTAACGTCTTTGTTGAACGTTTCGCCAAATATAAACTATTATATTATTTTGTTTTATGTATTTGATGGACGAGAAATATAATCGTGTAATGGAAATGGATCGATAAATACATATACCTACACAAATTGAACACAATATTTGAGACATTTTGAATAAATATAGTGGAAGAGGTAGGGGRRAACTCACGYGCTATCACGTTTTAACCAAACACAAGAACCTATTAACTCATAACGCATAACTAATTGTACGCTCCATCCGACTCCCAGACCTCAACAATAATTTATATGTAAAAAACCCATTGCGATCACGTAATTTGTTTACGATTAATAAATCTATGTGTTGACAGGTTTTGTGACTCCAGTCGAGGTGCATTTCGATAACCCGGATGGAGGATTCTTCGTCCGGCACCCGATTGGTGGCGGTCCTGGCAACAACCGACAACAACAGCAAATGAACGGCGTWAGGAGCGGCGAGGATGACGAAGAGGACGACGCCGGCGGTGGGGCCGTGCTCAGCGTGGACAGGTTCACCGTGTTGCAGGACGTACCGCAGACGTCGATCAGGGCCAGTTATGGTCCGTTCTCCACCAAGCAAACGGTACCGTCGCGTTACCTGATACCAGATCCGAACTCGGCCGGAATGTCCGGTGGCGTCAATGGTTCCGGTTCGTCGGTCGGCTACTCGTCGGCCGTGGACATATCGTCGATGGACGTGTCCGCACACCTGGTTCAGAGGCGCGTGTACCGCGAGAACCCGGTGGTCCGGACACTGTTCCACGTCGGCTACAGCGTAGTCAGGTCACAGTCTTCCGGTTCCGGTCCTCCGCCTCTGATGCCGATGTCTGCCGCGGACGCGGTCGGCGGTGGACCCTCGCGGTCCGCCYCCGGCTCGTCGTCGTACGGAAAACTGTGCGCGGTAGCCAAGGCCACGTTCGAGGGAGCCGAGCGGCCGGTCACCGCCGCGTGCAAGCCCGACCCCAAGGACGGCGTCTGCACCGCTCGGCTGGTGTTGCCGGCAAAGTGGTGGCCACCGCTGAACCCGCCGGACGCCAAACCGGTCAAGACGCCGCAGCGGTACGTGCAGATCTCGTACGCACTGCTCGAGTCTGACCACCGGTGCAGTCAGTCAGACGTGCAGCTCCAGCCGTTCACGTACATCGGACAGGCTTCCCTGGAGCACGCACAGCGTCCGTACAAGGAGCTCAAGACGGACGCCTACCTGCTGACTCTCGTCCCGTCCRTGCCGCTCTATCCCAAGTCGTTCACTTACGTGCCCGTGTTTTTCGACGCTGGACCCAAGGAGCAGAACATCAAAGGATTTATACTCAGAGCCAAAGTGAAGAACGGACTGCGGGTGTTGAGCGCAGAGAACAGCGACCCGGATCGGTGGACAATCAACTACACGTCGAACCCGAGGGGCACTCAGATCACGGTGACGGCCGTCCACAAGGGTCTGCCCGCGGCCGCTGCGGCCACGTGGCCGAACTCTCGATACGAGGAGGTATTGCAGTGGCTGCTGCAGGTGGACTCGGAGGCCGAGGACGTGTGGGAAGAAGGACGGGTAGTTTGGACTGTACAGTACGTCATGGAGGCRGCTGGTAACGTAACCAACTGGACGTCGGCCGCAGCCGTCCAGGGAAACCAGCCGAAGGTCGACCGTCACCGCGCCGCGTACAAACATCACCGGCGGCAGGCGGCCGTGCTGGCCGGACGACGGAGGACGGCCCGGCTATCCGGCGCYGCCACCAAGATGCTTTACCTGGACGGCGTCAACGGCGTGTTGGACGGCGTCAAGCGCAAGATTTCCGCTCGGTTCGAGATACACAAAGACGACACCGAAGCCGTGCTGCCCATATCCAAGGTAAAATCCGTTCAATGTTTTGTGGTACATTGACGATTGATATAAAATAATAAAATATTATTGTTAGGCAAACGATGTCGCGTTAACATTATGACTGTAGTTTAGTATAGTTGCTGCAAGTGCGATGAGCTGCGAGCATATATATTATACTACTGAATTTTAGTTTATAATTATATGTAAACGATTTGTGTCCCAAATTTATATGAGAGCTAAAAAAAACTCATTTGACGTGTCTTGTACCTATATTGTACCTGTATTTATATTTTATACCTAAACGAAATACGAGTATGTATTCGGAATTTTTTTTTATAAGCGATAAAATATTTTTGATCGATTTTTGTTAGATTTTCGTTGCACGGTTAACAAAAACATATCTACGGTTAGGAAGAATATCATCGAGTAAAGTTCTATGTTTTTTTAAATATATATTTTGGTAGATCTAAACGAGTATTAATAGCTTAGGTTTGGTTAATCTTAATTTATTATTATTAATGTAACGCACTAAGAAACATAAATAACTACCTCGTTATAGTCCGAGTAAAACTGAATAAATATAAAATACGCGCGCCATATCAGTGTATAATATAGTCTTAGTCTACTTCAGTTCACTGTAAAATGTTTCGATAAAAATCTTTTATTTTGAACTATATAGAAATTAAGCATTTGGTTTAAAAAATTTGGACCTACGTTTAGACCTGACTCGACATAAGATTAACCAAACGATTTCTTTTAGTTTAATTAATAGATCACAAGCTAATAATATTAGTAAAATATATTTGATTACTTTAAAATGATATGAGTTTTTTTAATTACGAATTGTGTTGTGATTTTTTATATACAATTTTGTATAATTTTTTTTTGTGTGTATGTTTGTTGTAAAGTTATTAATTTACCTACGTAATAATATGATGTGACGAGAGGTGTGTAGTTAGCATTACAATGTTAGCAGAACTTTTCAAAATCTATTCAACAATATTCAAATAAAGACTTTCTAGACATTATTAGAATTTTATTGAGCCGCTCTTTTAACCRTTCACGTTAAATTTTATACAGCTTTTTACACTTAGCATTAMAATTAAAAATCTGTCCAAAAACCTTCCAAAAGTATTTAAATATACTTTTTAGACATTGTTGAATACCAGAATATTCTGGTAGGAATTTCGTGGAGCCCCTCTTTTAAAAATAATTTTTATTTTTCAACATCTATAAATTTAAGTTTTATCAAATGTGTTTTACCAATGCAATACATAACATTACATCATTATGAAGGGCCTAAAATATTTTTTCCGTATTGTAATAATAATATGATCCAAAAATCTGCATACATAATATTACATTGCATACTTTATGATAATCAAGTTCATAATCATGATTATACCTTTACAGTATTAACAATATATTTGTACTCAAGACATTATTATACTTTTTTATAACAATAGGTGCATTGTTTTTATCGCATTTTTTAATTACTCTATACTGATATTAGTGATACTACTGAATACTGATATAGGTAGTTGAGGTAAATACATTGGCGTATAGCTGCGATGAGGGGTCATGGGTATAGATGCCCCATTTTAATTTATTATTGATGATGTTTTAATCACGGTTACAGCCTATATAGGTAATACAAATATAATAAAGTATTTTCAAGTAGCTCCCTATTTATTGAGCTCCAGCTACTCTACTGGGTAAGTGAGTAAATATGTTGCAAATGTGTCGGTGTGTAATATATATATTTATATAAATAATAATTGTAYAACTATTTAGACAGCGTATAGGTGGTTTTTACAATTTTAAAGTAATGAAAAATTGTTGCAGTGAAAACGATTTCTATATTTTACTCGTAAATTTTTCACTGCACATGAAAATTATTTCGAGAAAATGGAAAAATAATCTCTTTAAAATATATAGTATCTAAATAAATTTAGGAGTAATTTAGTAATATATACTAAATTTAATTCACGTAGTACTTCTTACTCCACTCATTTTCTTGGGAAAATAAGAACGTGTAATAAAATCATAATATGTTTTTGTAAGTTTAAAATCGAATTAAATACGTCTTCGTACCGTTTGTTTTGTAACTGTCAGCAGCTGCAGTTATGTGTAGCGTTGTCGGTGAATTTCCCACGACTATACACGTGCAAATGGTTACMCAAAGGATGACCCGTGCCGCAGGGCGCGTAGTTTATAAAAACCAACCGAAAACCTGGCGTGTTCGAGTGGGCTGATAATTATTTCAAGAAACCTCGTAAATCCAACGATTATGACATTTTTGAAAGAGTTTATTGTTCCAAAACGAGCTACCGACAACGCCCGCCCGGTAATAGCTGTAACGAAATATTATTTTCGCTAATACTGCCGGATAGTTGTACAACACCWGTATATATGTAGGCTATAAAATAGTATTATTTTTACACGCACATACTACTTTTGTTGTGTATTTCGATTTCCTATCAAAATGTGTACAAAGCAGTAAAGCACACGCGGCCAGTCAATTAATTAAGATTTGGTGTTATCGCGGTCTGAGGTCCTGACCGTTTTGCAGGCGCGTATAGCGTATATACGAGTATACGACTGCTTTTCGAATCCCCAGCGAGCACGATGAACAGTAAGCGMCGCCCGTTTACAACATCATGAATCACCTAGCAAAGGGTTGGTCGGTTAGTGTAGGTATTATATATCTACTACTACCACCTATACCCATATATGAAATACGTATATTATATATACCTCATATTACATATATAATATATACATTTCGGCATCGTATAACTATAATAATATACAGCGCGCGTTGTGAATGGCAATGACAAATCGATTCGCTTCCGGGGATGTACACAGAACAACGAAATTTGTCATCGTCGAGCCGTCACGTTATGGGATGAGTGAGGGGGCAGGTTCTGTGTTGCATCCGTGAAACGTGCATCTGATATTATGTCGGTGTGTATGTGTAATGTATTATTATATAGGTCGCAGCGCTGTAAAATTATTTAAATCCCCCGAGTATTTCGTGGAGTACCTAACTGATTTGCGCAGGGAATTACGTAGGTATACGAGTTCAAACAATTCGCACGAAAAGCTGCACCGTGATGTCATTATGGAAAATTATATTATTTCTATGACCTGCGGGGTTCGCCTCTGTGGTGCCTATTTGATGACCCTGAAACGTTTATTATAATTGATACTACAATTATAATACAGTACATTAAATATTAAACTATATGTATAGATTTAAGTTTTCAGAGCAAACGAAATATGAGTATTATATGCATGCATTATGTTATATTTATACAGAACTGGGAAATCATTAACACGGCCGTATTGACCGGAAAGCAAATATCGCACGCGATGAAAGTGTTCGTGGTCAGCTACGCTGGCAAGATATCCGACGTCACCCGACAGTCCGTGTGTCAGATAGAGGACGACAGCGTGCTTAAGGTATAATAAGTTCCATAAATTCTATAAATGTATAATGTGTACTATTAAYTATTATATTATACATTCATTGATAACGTAAATTAGTAAAATATATTAACATATTATTATTATACAATTGCCGTAAATGTTTGAATCAACCGGTGCTTTTTGAGTATGGTGATATTTATGCATTTGACTCGTCCCGCACAGGTTACTTCGTCATGCAGTTCGGTGTACGTGGACGGATCGGAAATCCGGGGATCGTCCAATGCCACAGTAATCGTCAAGTACGAAACGTATACAGGCACTGCACATTTCATCGTGTGGGTACCGGAAATCAATGAAATGGACCTAACCATCGCCGACCAGAAGTTGAACCARATCAAAGGCTGGCGGGTGCCGGTGAGCCTAGAAGCCGACGACGACATGGACGAGTGAGTTTCGATTTTATTTTCACCGTCGGGTTTACCGATATTTGGTAGTTTTGCCTAACCGTATGAATTGTTTGTCCAAGTACACAACAAAGTACCTATATAATGCCTTATAAATTACATAACATGTGATTTTCCCGGTGTGTTACAGTTACGTTAACAAGTTGAAAAGGTCCGCCGAGGGCAAAGGTGGCGCTCACATGAAATCACCGATGCCGGATGGCGATTTCCGGTTGAACGAAATGATCACCGAGGATATGGTTGCCGATGCATACGACAGAAAGACCAGCTGCCAGTTGAGATTTCAACAGACGTCGGTTGAGGTAAGACATTATAAAATTGTTATTCCGACCATACGGATTGCGCCGTGAAATAACTATATAGGTAACTCATTTGAAGCCCCAGAGTTACACATAATATACTATACAATATTAAAATGAATTTATTTAAATATAATATCATTAATCACCTACGATAGAAGCGCACATTTTTATTCACCAAAAATGTATTTWAAAAATGTGAACACATAGCTTATATTTATTTATTTTTATCTATCATGCAATATATAAAAATATATGACATCATCATATATTAGAAATTTGACAAAAAATCAATAGTTAAAATTTCATTAACACATTTTTAGATATAATATATGGAACGAATTTCATGCTTGAAAATCAATATTGTTTTTAAGTACACAGAATAAAATTCATAGGTATGTATAATGTGATTAAACCCCAGCGCCCTAATTTTATCACTTTTAAGTACCTAYCTATATGATACAAAACGTACTAAGCTAATATTTCTATTTTTCATATGATTGTGCATAGTAATTTTCGAGTTCTTTGAAAAAAAAAAACATGCAAAACAAAATTATTATTCATCACCCACATTAAACTTTTACTTTAATAAACGATTACCGTAAAAGTAAATTATTCGATTCTTTACAAAGTAAAAATTACTTAAACAATAATTGTTCATTAGGCCATAATACAATTTTATTAGCTTGTATAATTCTCGGTTAATGAAAACTCCAAACTTGTAAAAGTTCGGGGAAAAAAACTTCAGCATCCGTACTAAATAATCAAGAACAGTAGAAAAGAATAATAGTCTTTTGTATTACGACTTTTCAGTGCTTTAATTTTATAAACACAATGTTCGATAAAAGTGAAAGTTTTTTTTTTTCGTTCATTAGCCAACTTGTACAACGACTAATTGGCCTTTATCATTGAATTACAAGAATTGATTACATTATCTAAGACTCTCTGATCTCCTTCACGAGGGAAATACGAAAATGTATTAATTATAGTCTGTGATAAAATTATAAATATAAACCGCTATGGTTATCAAATTAGTTTAGTTTTTATACGAATTTTGATGAAATGTATACATTATAAAATATGAATACCTAGGATATTCATTTTTAATTAACAATTTAAAAAAGATTTTTCAAAAAAAAAAAGAAGAGCTCCCTTTATACAGTATCAAAACGTGGGATTATATTGTAAAACAGGGATTTTAATGAAATAATATAAATTAAATCCTAGCTCTGGATTAATTGGAACAATGACCATCGTAAATATAGTCGTCGWKGCAACGTTCGCATAACATGTATAGTTGTGTATAATCCCCGAAAGAGGCGTATTATTTCATCTTACGGTTCTATCTCTAATAACATTCTATTTAAACATTTCAAACCACATACGTCCACTGAAGAGAAAAAAGAAATAATCATAATAAAAACTAATGAAAAGTTACAATACGCACTTGAAACAGAATGAAACGAGGTAGAATCACCGCGATATTTCCCTCTCACACCCTCCCCCGTCATATATAGGTAAGTATACATGTTCTGGGCTCTCTATATACGACGGTTATAATACATTTTGCTCCTTTATCGCATTACGTTCATTATTTTTTATACAATGTAATATCATAGAGTGTGCGTATAGTGATGCTATTTATACTCAATACCATAATATTATGACTTGATATAATGTAATTTTCAAAAATCACGTGCTTCGAGTTAATCGTGAGATGGATATTAACGCTTCCCGCATTTAATAGGCTTATTGATTTCAACCGACCTTCACGTGTGCACCTACCAAWTAGAGATTTTCTGGTGTTTTATTGCTCATATATTTCATAATCGAGTTCCTAATAATTGTTTTTTATTTCAAAATATGACAATTTTATTTGGCAACTAACTAGGATTTTTATTATTTACAAGTACAAATAAATATCGGTACTTTTCTGTTATCGTACCYCAACGGTTAGGTTATCTTCGATTTTTAATWTTTATTAAAAAATTATTTATTATTCTAACTAATTCCAACAAAACTATAGTGTTATACACAAGTGATCGTGACTCAAAATTATATCTTGCAGCGATTTGAGTACCTACTGTTAAATTTAATTATAAAGTATGTATAAATTATTTGTTTGTTATATTCACAGAAGACAATARGCCAATTACAATAACAATGAATATATATTAAAATTTAAAATAGTGCTAAATTCCTATTACTTATAAATTTATAAAATTAAAAATATTTATAAAATTATAAAATGATCAATACTATAAATATTCGCTTTAGTTATACGATTGATAGGTAAATTTGATATCTGTTTATATAATTGAGAAGTAGATAAAAACGAATATAAGAAATAATWCTAAGAAATCGATTAAATTGTTTGGTAACTTATACTTATCATAAATGAATGAAATCATTATTCATTTTACTCCTTATTTCTAAGGAGTTTTTCCTATTTAAATTTTAATCGTTTAGTGTTTTTTGGATCACTGCACACACTGGCTAGGTCGAGTTTTGTTCTCTATATACCACATTACAATATTGACGAACACAAATATTTGAAATCGTTGTTGGATAGCTTCAATAGTTAACCTTCGATTCGACCGAAATATGATAAACAGGGCTCATAACTTATAGCTCTAAAAAAGGTAGTTAAAAAAGTATTCATATAAGCGCTTAAAYATGCACTAAATAATACAAAAATATGCAAAAAAAAACATTTGTATACAAAAGTTATTATTTATTATATTATTTTATTATTTTAGCTTCTATTATTAATAATAAAATTGAATTATTGTACTTTATTGTATCATAAACAACTTATGGTACTCATTTATTCTGCGATTGGTCTGTTAAGAAAAAAATTTATAAAAATAAATGATAAAAATCAYGCGAAACTCCAAAAATAAGCGAAAAAAAGCACTTATACTCTGGAATATGCAAAAATATGCAACATCACATTTTGTATGTAGCTTCTTGGTTATCTGAAACAAATTTATAGCTCACATAGGTTAGGACCTTTCAAAAAAAATATGCAAATGCTAGTTACAAAGTTATGAGCCCTGATGATAAATGCCGTGTACACACTGACCTCATGCTCGAATTCGCGTGTCGTTTGCAGATATACGCCAGGTTCAAGGCGACGGACCACGACTCGGGCCGAGTGAGCTACTTCGTGAACCGTCGGACGTGGTTAAAGGTGACCGATCTGCTGCTACACTACTTGCGGTCGTCCGACCCACGGGTCGCGTCCATCACGGGGCAGATCGTGCGCGGGCACAACCCGGGCCGGACCGAGGTGCAGGTGATCTCGGCGCTGTCTGGGCACGTGCTCGTGTCGAAGGAGATCCGGGTGGTCAGTGACAAGGTGAGCGTGTCGCGACTGGCAGTGAACGTCGTGTCCGGTCTGCAGCTGAACATCCGGCCAGACGCGGCCGTGGACAACAACTACATTGCCGAGACGTCCGTGACCAGGAAGCTGACGGCCAAGTACCAGGAGGGTCTGCTGGACATCGACCTGTGGTTCACGGACGACACGCGCACGCCCCTGCGGTCGGTGGCCATGTCCGACTACGCGCTCCGCGTCGAGTCCACCAACCCCGACGTGGTGGCGTTCGCCCCGATGGCCGCCTCTCCGCACCCTCGGGTCATAGCCGTCGGTCCGGGTAAGGGGCAGTTGCTGCGCGTGTCGTTCGGTCCGCCCGACGCCTGTGGCAAACACGAACCGGTAGCGGCCGGCGGGGGGCGGAAAACCGTCTTGCCGACAACGCTCAGCGAAACGGCGGCCGAAGTCCAGGTGGACTTTTCCTCGTCCCCGTACTCGGTCGAACAGTTCGTTCAGAACGACGGCGGCGGTGGCGGCGGCAGTGGCGTGCTGAACGTAGGACCGCCCCGCGACAAAAAAGATCACAACAAGGACTCGGCGGGTAAGTCGGTCTATATATATATATATATATGCATGATAATTATATAGAACAATATATAATGCGCGAACAATAATTACAATAATAATAATGTAACGATACTTTTGTTGAACAACTGCGTTGTATTATATGCGCCGCCGCCTTGGCGAACGCGAATCCATTTATATTATAAAACACTTTATCCGAGAGCGCACAATAAAGGCGCGAATAAAGTTCACGACGACATTTTCTAAGAAAGTGAAATTGGTAACGCGCACGGATAGTTGTTATCCGCCAAATAGTTTTCATTTTTACTTTTATCGTCCACTTTTTCGTTTTGTAACAATCATAATATAGTTATACGGCGTGCGATGCGTTTCTATCACTCTTGCCGTTATTACCATTACAGTATTACGACCACAAAGGCTTCCGTCGAAACACAATTCTCATTTCTTCCACGTTTTTATTTATTTTTTTGCTCGGCCTCACGGAGAACTTTTTCTTTTTTACATTTCGTGGCGTCACGTCGGGGWATTAAATTTAACACGTTTGCCACTGTGCGCAGTAGCTACTAAACTTATATAATATCTACAAAAATGTGAAATCCAGTGACATAAATATAAATAATAAAACGTACTTTGGTTCCCGACACGCAAAAAGATTTTAATACATTTCTATTTTTGTTCACGAAGATGAMATTTTTCGTATTGCTATCGATTTTCAAGTCTTACCTACCTTTTACGTTTAAATATTAAATAGGCGAATGAACCGAAATGCATTGTTGTAGTATAATACGTTTATAGATTCAGTTCTTATATCCATTAGTATACAAATACCTGATAGGTAATGCATACACATAATGCTATTTTTATGACATTATGTATTATGGAATTTTCTCATATTCCTGAAACAAAATCTTTAGTGATATTTCAAATTTTATGGCGGATTGTTCTTTTGTTACACATTTGATCATTGTTCTCGATTATTATTATGAAATAATAAATCCAATAAAAGCACTCTAAATTACTTTAATACTTTATCGTCAAACCGTGACTACTTTTCAAATTACTAACTTTCACATTAGAACACAATTTAAGTGGTGCTAAATTGAATTTAACGCCGAGCGCACACGCCGGAATTGGATTAATACAGTTTATTGTTTTAGACAGTATACGTTCGCTGTTTCGCTTGTACGTAGAATAGTTATTCAAATTCCGTATAATACGCGTTTACAATTTTAATTAAAAGATGTTTTGTCAACAACTTTGCACAGTATTCGTGGCAATTTCAAGGAAATATTATAATATATATAAGTACGGTGAGGAGCTTTTCAAATGCAAATTTCAAATTGCACGTTTCTCGATTAGATTTTATGACACCGGAATTCGAATAAACCGTAATCGCTCTGCAATGCAGCAGACGAACCTAGCTAATACGATTTTTTTTTTTTTTATCCAACGATTAGGAATGGCCAGCATTGTTGACGAAAACAACGATGAACCCACAGTGCAAGCTCGACAACACAACAATAACAACAACAATCAAAACAACATTATCAACCACAGCAGCAACGGTATTGGGAGTGCAACTGTGCACGCCCACAAAGTACCCGCTCAAGTGAGCCCGTTCGAACTCGGCATGTATACTCTGTTGGCGGCTCTTTGCTTCGCCATCTTAGCGTTCGTCATATCGTGCGTAGTCTACGCGTCCAAATACAAACAGAACTCGTTGGAGATGCCCACTACCACATTGATGAGTAAGAGCCGTCTATATTCGGTCGTATTATATTATTGCACTGATGCGAATTCACCTACTAAATATTCTGCTTGAGAATATGACGTTTATGATATTAAATTGAAAAATGTGCTATAGTAATTTTCAAGCATGAACTTTGCGGTGAATTTAATGTGTTTTCACTTCTTTTTAATATTTTATTTTATAATCATATACCTAAACAATATTAATAATATTATTATTGTGTTTTTTTTTTTTTAGCAAAATCGTTCATGAGTAACATGAATGGGGCTAAGGACGGTGGTGGAGGTATTGGTGGAGTGGTCGGTAGTGCCAAACCTTTGTCAGATGAACCGACTATGAACGCCCACGATTGGGTGTGGTTGGGCAGATCTACGTTGGAACGCTCGTCCGGCATGCTGGTGCCGTCTATGGGTAACAAATCGCACAACAACAACAATAATAACAACAATATTAACAACAACCAAATCAACGAGCACAATATGAGAATCATGTCGAACCCCATTTATGGCGTAGATAACAACGGTAGTGGTAACATTGGTAACCACCAGCAGCAACAGCAAGTTTGCAGTAGAAATCCTGCTTCGCAGATCAATACTTCCACGTACAGCGTAAAGGACCGGCTGTCCAATGGCAACATCGTTTTCAATAAGCTATGGAAAGTGTAAGTAACAGTTTTAACGACATAGAGATTATATTTTAGAAGTTCGTTTTTCGTTCGTTTCTTCTTTACAGCGTCAACGGCTTGAGTAGGAGGGGGTGGGGAGATGAAAACGTTTGGATCGCTTGCTGTTACCCATTAGGTTTTTAATCGGAACGTGACATGTTCCCTGTCAAACGCATTAGATATTCTGCGGTCTTTCTTATTATTATATTATTATGATTATGTATTTAATTTACACAAAAACGTCTAAATACCCAACGCGTTAGAACATATGGTCCCGATCGATTACTAGTGTTCTATTTCGTTAAATATAGTGGCAACAGTGAATTATACATAAAATATTAACAGAATAGAGAACCAGGGAGTCAGGTTGTGGTTGCAGACACTTAATCGATAAATATTCATGTTTCTATTATTATTTCAATAATTTATGTTATTACCGCAGCACATTTATTAATATGTCAATTGCCGATCTGCATGATAATAACGCGTAGATACGATTAATACAAACAGAAACTCTCAATGAGATTGCTCCCGTCAAACCTCACAGAAACAGCATTCGTATATATATAATTCCGTTTTGACTTATGAACTATCCGAAATGTCGGACAAGTCCATATTTGGTGGTATTTTTCCAATGCTGTTTCATCGTTATTATTTTCAAATTACAAGTCCATATTTGGTATCTGAATTCTACTCACTAATATTTCGGCTACGTTAACAACTTCCATAAACTGGTCTGATTATTATCCTACTATATTCTCCTAAACTAATCAGACTAACTATATATTTTATTTTCAATACTTAGCTTTTCACTTCATCCAATAGTGCTCTATCACCATTATTATGTAGGTACACATATTATGTTTATAGTGGAATTTGGGAAAATCATCGATTTATTGTTTCCAAACTAATAATATACAACTATATTATATTATATATTATAATATAGTTAATATTACWATGTTATCATATCGTAATATCGTGTATTAATGTATTATAATATAACAATATAACCATTATGATTTAAATAACATGAATATCGTAAAATATTTAACTCAATTTAGTTTAATATTTTAAGGATATCATTATTTCAAGGTTCGGCCACTTTCTAAAATTATTCTTTTTTAGATTTTATTAGCAAAAATGTTAGATAATATATCTAAAACAAACCTGTGCTTATAATGATCATAGAAAATTCACCAAAAGATCCATATATGTAAAGTTATTCCTTTTGTTCTTCAACACTCTATATTTTGTAAATAACACTTGCATTATGTTTTTAAGTACTATTTGATTAGGTATCTTTGTTTGCGGTACGACGTACTGATTATATTATTTCATAATCATACGTTTTATACGTGTCGGTTAAAACATTTGAAATCAAAATACATATATAGTGTAACTTGGCTATTATTTTGCGTATTGAAAAGAGGTCAGAATTTTATTATTAATGACTTATGAGAAAGCATATTAAAGTTTTGATTTCAACGTTTCATTGAAGTATATTTCCAATTGCTATTACTTAAGGTTTAAGTAATTTGCGTATTTTGTATTAAAGAGTCTTGACTTTAAGCTGAGTTAGAGTGATTTATTTATGTTTCCTCCATTTAACATTTTACTGCCTTTGTTTCAATTATACATCAAAGTACAATGGTAAATAAATACCATTCATCGTTCTATTGACTAATACAATATTTTATTTACAAAACATTTTCGATTTCTTTAAGTACAACTTGAAAGTTGAAATGTTGTGAAGTACTTTCCGTACTGCCTTTAAGTAACATTCCGTACTTTACGTTACGATTGTTTTTACTCTAATCATTGTTAACCATTGTTAATATAAATTGAGGTATTTTCTATAACAGTTTAGTTGTTATATGATAGGTATTGATATTATAAGGAAATTACTTTAATATATTTACATATGAACATTAAACATTTTAAAACATATATTATATTATATACAACAAATTGTATTTTCTATAGTGAAAAATACTCACTATTATTGCATTCCGGGAAGCCTTGAAAATTAATCGTTTTTAACCTATGGTGCAGAATATTGACTTTGTGTTATATTTATTTGTTTTAATCTCCCACCAGACTTCCGACACCGAATGACCAGAACCTGGAGAAACCAGCCGACTATAGGCCACCGGTGCCACCGCACAGGACGCAGTTGAACAACGCGGACAACATGATGATCGGCGACGGCGACAATGATGATGAACAAGCGCCGCCACCCCCAAAACGGCAACACCATCATCACCATCACCATCACCGCAACCGCAGTCAAGGTGTGTAAACGTCTAGGTCCTCATGACTTAAGATCTATCCTATACAGACGAGATCTGTATCCTTCAGGTTTTTTTTTTTTTTTTTTAATTTGTATTTTTCCGTGCAGGCGGTGGCAGATCTTCGTCGATCGTTGGCAACCATAACAACCCTAAACTGCCGGAGAGGAACTCCGACCCACTGTTCGTGGAGACCTGTAACCGGCGATCGATGGATGTGAAACGGGCCGCAATCATTGGGAATCCGATGTTCGCTTTCGATCCCGCATCCACGGACCAGAAACAACAGAACGCCGGCGCCAGCGACACAATCAAACTCGACGACCTCAACCTTGGCATGGACTATAAACAGCTGATGGAGTACTTTGACAACCTGAAAGAGTCAAACGCTTGATTCGTCGTTGCCAACCGCATACCCGTATCGTTTCGCAACCCTCCGCTGTTACCATTAACCATACACACACTCCTACCACAGCAGTGAACACCTGCACGCGGCCCATTCGCCTCATCCCACCCTCACTCCCGGTCCCTTCACTACTTCTGTCTCTATCTTACTGTCGCACACAAAAAGTCAATTAATTCAAAGGTTGTCGCTATATAAACTATAAAATATACTTAGGTACGCTCTATAGTAGTTGAACCAAAAAAGTATACACTTCAGCTTCAGTATTATATTGAAAAAAGGCGTACAACGATGTTAGTAAATTGTTCTCACGCTTACGGTTGTGAGGTAATTTTGTAATCCAAATTTTACATTAAACATTTTAAATTAGGTTGTTTCAGGTTGTTGGACGCATAATGGTATCTAATGACCCTATTATTATTATTATTATTATTATTAGTTATTACCATATATACACGATATCTACATTTGATACCATTTGATGCATTATTAGCCTTTGCTACTCAATGTATCTTTTGAATTTTCTTTCTAAAAATAAACTTAATTTATTTAAATTTATATACAAAATATAATCATATATTGATKTTTCAAACTACCTATCTACTTGACATTTATTTTCGGACTTACATAATGAAAAAAATAAATTAATTTCTAGACTATTTTACATGTACCTATTCAATCAAGCTTATTTATAGTTTCCATAGTAAGTTTATACAAAAATATTAGTTCCTTAATCTAAATTATTATTAAAAAATGTAAAAGTCGCAATTATATTACAGATTAAAAGAATAATGAAAAATAAGAATAGATAAGTTTTGTTACATCTGTAAACTGTGCTAAATGATACCTTCGTTATTTCCTATTTTTTATAAATTATAATATGTACGACAATTATTGCCGCTGTTAATAATAATTAAGTTTCCAATATTTCGCTCTACACGTGTTTCTCTGAATGTTCCTAATTATTGTATCACTATTTTGATAATATTGTTTAAGCCATTTTCCCTTTAGATCAATACTATCATTAATCTAAACATTTTTGTTAAATTTAATTGTTGATTATTTTTAATTTTTTAGTTTGATACCAATTTTTGCTTGCAACTTTATTTTATATACTTTTGTACATAATATTCATATTTAAAAATGTTTTTCAATACCTATTAATATCAAATACTACATTTAATATTGTAATGAATAGTTCGACAATTATTGTAACTTGTACATTTAAATGTTATGTATGTAGTTTTTTTTTTTTTTTTTTTAATAATGGTTTTCCATAATGAATTGCCCCTTAAACTGAACAGTTACCACAAATATTATATTATATTTAAGCAATGCCTTATCACAAGTAATCATATAAAATATACTAAACTAAAGTCAACATTAATGGTGAACATTTATACGCACATATATTATTCTACAATATTCTAATTTATTTAGAAACGTATTTTAATCAAACGATCATTATTTTTAATTTCTCAGTGCCATTAAATAAAAAAAATCATTTGTGGCAGTACAATAGTATTATTTTTCATTTTCGTTTTTATTTTTCTGTGATAATGTAAATAATATGATTTTATTGGACATAATTGCATTGCAGATATTTGGGCATAACTTCATCACTTGATTCTAAACTATTAAGATATATTTGAAAAATTGAATACCTATTTCAGTTGGTTCTACCCAGTGCGTATTTGTGTACATTGTACAATAATAATATATTAATACCAAAAATTAAGTATGTTATTTATTCTACTTACAAAAACAACTGGGAAAAAAAACAGTTTCTCAATATACTAATCAAAAATCATACAGCCGTCCATATATTATACATGTTATGCAATACTTAATAAACAATATCACGACATTCGAGGGCTACCCGTTTGGACCGTTTTAGTTTAAAATTATCTATAGTATAATATTAAGTTAGAAAATAAACACTAATCATTTTAATGTTTTGAACTTAAATAGTGCAAACAAACTACCTATTATTTCTAGTCAAAGAATATATTGATATTGATATTATATTATATTATATTATATATGTATATTATGTTTAAGTCGTAGATCAAGTAGGTTGTATAAAAAAAAAAAACTATATAATATGTTGTTTGCCTTCTTTTTTGGGATGCAGGAGCTTCCATTAATAAAATTTTACCCGTGTTTCATTTGTTTTGTGTTTAAGTACTTTGCGATTATGTTGAAGCGCAGAAACGTCGTACGCGACACAATGAGACTGTTTTTTNTTTGTATTGAAAATAGCCCATATTTTAATGTGGTATGCGTGTAAATTTTATTTTATTGTTTATTATTTATTAACAAGTAATATACAATAACAGCCGACACAATGAGACTGTTTTTTTTTTTTTAGAATATATTTTACTTTTAGTATTTTATTTACCTTTTTATTTTATTATTATTTTAAATTTTTTAAAGTTTAGTTTATTGCTTTGTAGAGTATTTTTCGAACTCTAATAATTTGACTTTTTCTTTTTCTTCCTGTTTATGTTTCAGTCTGTTTCTTTGTTTTTATTTTTCATTAGTTTTCCTCCTTCGTTTTTCCCTTTACATAATTCGGTCAATAATCTATAATAAAATATCAATGTTTTTGAATGTTTTACCTTCATATGTACCGGGTTGTGATCTGTATTGTCCATTATCTCACCAAAATGATAATTTCTATTAGATTTTTAAGTAGAAGTAGTAGTTGACACACTACAATTTAAGTATTGTTATGTTGATGTGAGCAGATATTAATTTTAAATAAACAATTTATTAAATTTACTGTTGGTTTTGTTTATTGACTTATGACTAGCTGTTATGGGTGTATATAGAAGCGTAGATCTACAAATTGGTTAATTTTAGGTCATATAAATAATTATGAATTAATTAATAATTACATTATACCTACCTATTGTTATAATATTGTTATTGCAATAAGATTGATTTTATGATTACATTTTTAATTAGTAATTATCAATTACTATACTTATGAGTTGTATTTATAAGTTTCATTAAATACCTATTGTTGATAATTTGATAAAGTTCAACGAATCTGGTGTATAAAAAATGAGAACTGCTTAATCGTACATTTTCCTTTCATATAAATAKCTCAACAACTTCTTATTTAAAGGGTGTGCATATATATCGTTTATTAATATTCATAGATATCAAATTAATTTATACGCAACGCTGATTTATGTGCTGCACTTATATTGTTTGATTTGATGTTATGGCATTAAAAACTAAAAGTTTATTTAATTACTAAATTACCTATATCTTTTCAATATAATGGCTCGAGATCTTTGATACTATGTGTTGCAATAAAACTAACAAAATATTAATTATGATTAAAATAAAAATATAATAATAAGTCCAAAGTAAGCTTGTTATTTTTATCTAGTTACGATAATAATATTATATAGCTAATGAAACCGATGTTATTGTCAAAAATAAGTTATTAGTTAAATCTAATCTATCATACGCATTATTATTGATASGAAAATAAATGACTGAGAGTATAATTATTATTATGATGGTATTGATCAAGCATACAGTACAACACAATAAATAAATATTTTAAATTAAAACACAATATTTGATTTAAATTAATATTRATCCAAGTGACAGATCGTCACCACTCAAAATCGATTTTATGCAATGATCAWTGAATATATTTGTCATAGAATTATAATTTAATACGTAAGTACGCTCATTACAGTGACATGCCGACTCAATGCCGAGATGAGCTCAAMACTTTGGCCCTATTTTAAAATGATGTAAATTGTATAMTATAACATCAAATTTTACGGCGAAGCCCCTTCGTCTAAGGAGCAGCTGATWGCTTTCAAATAACGAACATTATTCCTAATAAATTCAAATACTATGTTATACGTCATATTGTTATATAAACATAAAGAGAAACGTATTGTGTGACTGTGCCGCATATATTACACGTGCAAATATATGAAAGAGTGAAAAAAGACTACCGACGACGCGGGATAATAAAATAATTAGCCCTTTTGATATTGTTGACGACCCTAAGCGTGTATGGCGATAATAATAAGCTATCCTTTATGGTGCGAGATTTGCCCTAACCTTACRAATCCAATACTTCATGTACATTTTTATTATTACATGGTCTTGCTGGTAGTTTTGATCGTCTTGGCAAATATATACTTTTGCGAAAGCAATTCATATCGGTTTTATTGATAATGCACCTATATCTGTATTAATTTTCTTAAGTTCATGATATATTAATTTAAGTGGCCGTTCACAAATCTCATCCTGTGCTTTTCTTTTTAATGAATTACGAATAACTTGCTTATCTATAATGTCTTGTATTACGTCTTTTTCGTGGTTATAGGTATGATCTAATTTATTCTCTATAACAGTATCTCCACTTTCATCGGTTTTAAAATATGCTTTACACTTAAAAACACCATSTCGATCGTCAAACTCAAACATGTTGGCATCTTATAAAAGTTCGATTTTTTTACCTTAATTACATATAGGTATATTAGATACCTATAGCAGCTGTTAACCGAGGACGCACTCGGACTGTTTATCATAATTTGTCGGTAGGACGGCGGACACGCTCGGGCTATAAAAAAGGTAAAAATTAAAAACGGGACGCACTCGGGATATCCCCGTTATATAGTATATCGATTAATACATAATAATATAATAACACCACCACGTATAGGTAATGTAGGTATATATGAACATATAATGAACCGTATTTGGTATGTGCGACGGTCACCTCGACCGCGGTTACTCACTCGCAAGTAACATAAACGGTTTTCACAATTACGTCGTTGTCATGTCCAAAAGTTTAGCTCATAATATAACGATCGATATTAAAATATGATCAAAGGCGAATTGTGATAAAAACAAAACTGAGTGAAAAATTATGTGTATAGCTCTAAACCGACTTCCACCTACTCTGGTSAGATTTTTCATCATTTGTTGGATGTACGTATGAACCGCCTAATAATTTTTTTAGCGGTGTTGTTTTCATAAATCATAATAATTATTTTTAAGCTATAGCGGATAGTGTGGATAGTTTGTTAGGATAGGAATTTCCAAAAGATATAATGATAATTATTAATTATTCTTGACCATTTTTATGCAATCAACTGGTTTGGCTTTATTAAATAATACACAGAAATGTATAGATGTAAATCAAAGCGACCATATTATGACAACGATAAACGAAAAGTGAAAAAATAGGTGATCGCTCTGCTGTACAGTATTTAAATGTCAAATATACCTATAGTTGTTAAGTAAGTCACTGTAATGTATTATGTATTAAACGTTAAATCACTGTATTAAAAAAGAAAAAAAAAGATTCTGAGTGAAGTTCGTCAATCAATAATACCAAGTTTATTTTATGGTATATGTTTTCTGATATTTCTCTTAAGGTGATTGATATTAACTGTGGTGATTTAATTATTTTTTTTTTTTTTTTAATATTAATTATTCGTGAACCTATTTTCAACTTTTTTTAAAATTACATTAATAACAGCTTATGTAAGTTCAATAGGTTTTTATCTTAGTTAAAATTAATTTCTATAACGATAATAAAATTAAACAGGACCGTAATAATGATTAAATAATAATATTTATATCTTTCGCTATATATTATTATTATAATATTTATCTGTATAAAAAGTGACGCCCATACGCAATATATCACATTATAGAACCCTAAATATGTGTGTGTGTGTGTGTGTGTGCAAGACAGAGACAACAATATTGCGTGTGTAGCGTCCTCTTAAGTACCTATACATATAGACACGCGCGGTTTGTATAATAAGTCGCAACACCAAACGCGCGGGCGGGGCTGAGCCGTCCGACCATTATTACCACAAACGATGCGAATTGAAGGTACGTTATTGTATATTTTTGTAATTATAAATGTCTGGCACGTTTTTCGTGCAGTCGTAGCYATTATTATGATAGTATAATGCACATGCACAGTCGCACAAAGCGTTAATATATATATACATACAGTGCATTGCATTGTGTATAATATATTATACTAATATAATATATTTATTAATATTATTGGCATTATCCCGAGAGTTTTTCGATCCAAACACTAAATTGTCGACTGGGTCGTCTGTTTGAGATCGCACGTCGCAACGTCTCAATACGAGCATATTATAATCGAGGTTTAATTTTACCATCGGCGTATTTCGCGGTCCAATCTCATCCCATCGGCGGGAGGCTGTTTTTTTCTCTCGGATAGTTCGACTTTTAAAATGTGTTCTACTCCATTATCATCATATATATATATATATTGTGAACTGTTTTGGTGGACATGCGGGACGAAAATAAACGATAATTGATCGATCGATCGGTCAGGTACGCAGTGTAGGTATACCGCAATGATCTGGCCTATATAATATCATGATATGCGATTGATCAAGACTCAAGAGTACCCATACTAGCTATATCTTCTTAACATTTACCTCGTACTATACGCGTCTCGTACACGTCGAAAACCACCCAGGCCTRGRTATCCGGCGTCTGATTTGTTATTTCGTTCTCCTGATATGGGTCTGTTTAGAATAATAATTAATAAACGCCTATTTGAGAAGATGAGAAAGAGAACGCATCACAGAATTGGAAAAATATATATAATATAGGGTGGTTCTTTTAACAAAGAAATCCCATATTTTCAAAGTAATCTTTTTACATAGCTCGATTTTTAATTGTTATCGTTTTAAATTATTTAAACTCTTTTGAACATAACAAGTATATTGTTAATTTCGAATTCCGAAGCAAAATATTATTTGGAATATTTCTATAATAATATGTAATATAATTGAATTTTGAATGAAAAGTAAACTGATTATCTGTTGTAATTTATAAGTATGTATATTATTTTTAGTTATAAACTATGATATGATGAGGACTGTTACAGYCACACATATATAGGTTAAAAAGACGGTTCACTAAAACTCCACTCATCTAAACTTTAATTATTACTCTTATTACTAATAACTTGTAAGTAATCATCATTAACTAGGTGTAGCCCGGTATA